ACTTGCTATTCTGGTCCTACCACACAAGATCTTGAGCTCCACCATTTCATGGTCACTGCAACCGAGGCAGTGCTCGACCTTTACTGCTTTGACCAGACCCTCTTTGTTAGTGAGGATGAGATCCAGCAGTGCACCTCTTCTAGTCGGCTCCTCCACCATTTGTATGAGGAAGTTATCAATGCACTAGAGGAACCTCCTGGACTGTGGCTGGCTGGCTGAGTAGTCCTTCCAGCAAACATCAGAGAAGTTAAAATCCCCCAAGACAACCAGGGTCTGTGACTTTTGAGGCCACTCTCAGCTGCCTGTAGAAGGCCTCAATGTTTGTTTCTTAGGGCTGTAGACTTGCTTCTTAAAAATATTTATTAATCTGATGAACAGTTTGTTCTTACTGAAGCAAATTCCCTATATAAGTTTCTTTTATATTCCTTGAAATGTGAGATGCACCTCATGCAAGAAACATAAAGGAAAAGCTTAAAACCTCTACCATGTCATTCTTGAATTTTTCTATTTGCACAAGTAGATGTGTTTTTTTTACAATGCGACTCTCTATTCTTGTTAATCATATGAAAGATGAACTGGTTTTTTTTATTTGTTTGTTTTCCAAGGAGCCCTTTGAAGATGGCTATGCAAATGGTGAGGAAGGCACACCAGCTGGGGAAGCAGCTGCCACATACACACCTGATAGCAAAGGAGTGGTCAAGTTCGGCTGGATAAAAGGTGTTTTGGTAAGTTTGATGCATTGCACTTCAGTTTCTTATGGATGTGATCTTTCTAATAACCCTCCTTTTTGAGTGGGATTGTGATAGCACTGTATAAAGAAAAGATTATATGTATGAAAGCATGCAAAAATAATTTTAGGAATGGTTACTCTTACTTGTACTGAATTTTAAGGAAGTAAATACTTGAGGGCTTCAGGATCTTGGTTTCTTAGCACTGGTTTTAAAATTTTGAAGTTGCGTAGCTTTCAAGAAGGAAAAAGGTTATATAAGTATTTGTATGTGGTAGAAGAACTATATATGAAAAGTAAATTACGTGGAAATGGACATAGTACCCTTAATGTGTGTTGACTTTGGATCTGTAAAGTTTTGGTCTGAAGTATTAGAAAACTTGTGGGTTTTTATTTATTTAGAGAAGTGAAACATAATGTGTTGGGGAGAGTACCTACCGGTGTATGGTAAAACTTGACCAGGAATAAGTATTTAGATTTTGTTGAACCTATTAAAAAGAGTCACGCTTTCCTAGACTGTGGAAGTCTTAACAGTAAATACAGTGTAGTCATGATGGAAGAAAATGAATCTGTCCCCATTTGGAGAAGGAAAAATTCAAGGGTGATGTGAGGGATGTTATTATGAGTAGATTATCAACTTAGTTTTAGTATTTTGGCGAAGAGAAACCATGATTAATATGTACTCTCCAAAGCTGTAATAATTTATTGTGGTGGCTGCAAATGCAACGATTAGTTAAAACATGCTGAACTTGAGCGTTCAGAATACCTACCTGCAGGCTTCCACTGTGTATTAACAACTTGCTTATGAGTCTTGGAAGTAGCCACATTCTCTGCCTTGAGAGAAGGAAGGTGCCTGTGGTAGCTGTGAGACAACTACTACAGACTTCTATTGATGTACCCCAACCAAGGACAGAGTTGTTAATTTTAAAGCAGATGTGAAGCTGACTTAGAATTTCCAAACCTAAATTCTCTGTTGGGCTCTTTTTCTAAGCCACAATTCTAAGTATTAAAGAATTATGGGATAAATGTTGCTGAACTTCTTTAAAAGTCTACATGTCCTCCTCTTCTGTGGTTCAAAAGTTGCATTTAGTATTTCCTTGTAGACATAAGCTATCTGGGTGAATATTTCTAGCTCAAGTGATTTACATTTTGCAAAAGACTTTTAAAAACTTACCAAAACTTTTTACATTTGTGGTTTGGAGAGGTCCTTGTCTCACTTCTAACAACCAGCTAAAGTTTTTGTAGGATTGATACTGTATTCTTCAGGTAAGAGAAACACCTAAGACCTGCTATTAGTCTTCCAACTAAATTCTGTACGGAGGAGTAAGAATTTAAAATACAAAGTTAAAAAATAAACACCCCTCCCTCATGATGTTAGTGTGCAGCTGCATTGTAAGACACAGAAGTTCTAGGACTGGAAGTTTAGGAGGTTGTTTTTTTTTCTTAAAAAAAGAATAAATTATTTAGTAGGGTATTGCTTATTCCATTTTTTTTGTGGAGATTTGTGGAAGTTCTGAACTGGTGCTGTAGACGTCACATTTTTATTTTTAGTCGTGTATTTTCTAGCCTGAATTTAGGACCCTAAATTGAAATCTAATTAATTTTTATTGTCTGGTCAAGACAAACTACGAGTTTTACATTTGTAGTTGAGGTACTGGAACTTCATCTAAATCAAGGTTTTCCTGTTTTGAGCTGAAGACAACCAATTCTGTCAGTGATTTTACTTTTCCTTTGAGTCGCTTCTAAGAGGCTGCACTTTTTGAAGTTAATGGCATGTTTTTGCACACTGTGTTTTGTACAGGAAGTGATAATGCTTGATGTTTATATTTAGTGCCAAAGAGTGGTATGCAGACAGGCTCTTGCTTATACTTCTGTAGTAACCACGATCAGTAACCTTGTGTGCCACATTGGGGGTGCCAGGACATAAAAGGGTTGCAAGGAAGTAAAAAAGTTTCATCTCCAGGGAGGAGCATACAGGACAGGTGACCCAAACTTGACCAACAGATTATTCCATTCCGTATATGTCATATTCAGTATAAATCTGCTGAGTCACAAGGGTTAAGGCCTCTTCTTCAGTGGCCAGTTTCCAAGCAAGATTCTGTCAATTCTTCTGCCTTTGATCCTGAGGTCCCAAATCCAGTTCCTGTACCCAACTCTCTGCTGCTGACCTTGAGACTTTCCTGGTGCTGCCAGCTCTGCAGCGTCACTGAGGGTTGCTATTGTGGGAGGAATTGAGTTTGGTATTAGTTCTGTATGTATTTGTATATATTTCGTTTTTTTCGTATAAGAACTATTATTGTTTCATTAAAGTTGTTTTAGTTCTCTTTTCCAGAAGAAAGCCTCTCTGCTTTTTATTCCCTCTCCCTTCCTCTTTGGAGAGGAGAGGGGTTAATAAAGAGCATCTGTTAGCATTCAGTGATCCACTAATCCCTACCCTTGTCAGAGGTACTAACCTTTTAATAATATGTAGGCTCCCCTCCTTTTTTTTTTTTTTTAATCAAACCTTAGCATGTCTAGTTAAAAATATTCTTTTGAAATAATTTGAAAAGTGGTGAGGAAAGACTGCAAGATAATTTTGACAACAATGAAAGACTGAAAGGAAAAGTAAATGGAAGTGACTGCAGATGTAAGACTTAACCTATGTAAAATTTCTGCTCTGTCTTAGGTACGGTGTATGTTAAATATTTGGGGTGTGATGCTCTTCATCAGACTATCATGGATTGTAGGACAAGCTGGGATAGGTATGTGTACTAATACTATAATTTTATTTCAGTGACTTTTAACGCTTTGGATCACATTTAATCCTAGGCTTGTATTTTAAACAGGGGTAGAAAGCGAACTCAGTATTACCATTTTTTAAGGTAATTTACTCCACTCTAAAACTTTAAGTGGTATGCAGTTACTTGGACTTTTTTGTTTACCTGTAAGATATGTAATGTAAAACTGACGTTTCACACAGAATGTTAGGGGTTGGAAGGGACCTCTGGAGATCATCTAGTGCAACCCACTTGCCAGAGCAGGGTCACCTACAGCAGATCTTACTGGAACACATCCAGATGAGTTTTGAATATTTCCAGAGACTCCACAACCTCTCTGGGCAGCCTGTTTCAGCGCTCTGTTACATTTTGAAGTCTTAAGTGAACTGCAAAGAGAAACTTCTGATCTCTGATGATTAAAATCTACATACAGACAATGTAATATAAAACCACATTTCTTCAAAGGCTTAACATAGTATTGGACTGCAGAAAATCTCTCATCTGCAGAAGGCGTGTGTTTCCTTGAAGCTCTGTGATACAGCTTTTACCCTGATGATTGCAGAGAACATTTACCCAGATTTGTTTGTATCCTGAAAACTTCTCTGTACAAAAGAGGAATGAAGAAGTCTTCTGCATGAATGTGTGGAACCACACACAGTAAATTTGTGTTGTATTTACAAGACTAATTCTTTTCCTCCCCTCTTTTTCTAAAAGGTCTATCTGTCTTGGTTATTGGGATGGCTACTGTTGTGACTACTATTACAGGACTGTCTACTTCAGCAATAGCTACAAATGGGTTTGTAAGAGGAGGTAAACCTACTTTCATAAAGCTTTTAAAACTCATAATTCTGAAGTATACATAGTACGGATGGAACCTCTAATTTATTTTCCATTTTTTTTAGCATCAGGGAGAAATCAGTATGGATGAAGTGGAGGGAAGAGTTAGTTTGCTGAGGAGCAGAGTCTTCCCTATGTTTTGTACTTGACTAAGCAGTCATTATTGAAAAGTCAATAATTAGACTGATAATTTCATTTGAGTAATGACTTTCTTTTATACTATGGAAGAGACTATTTATTTGTGATTTTTGGAATACAAACATTTTTAGAGACACATATCCAGGAATGAATAGGGTCTTAATAGTTATCTGCACTGGTTGGTTAAGAGTGTGCCTGTGTGCTTGCATCTGTTCATATCCTGAAATAAAACATGATGATGAGAAAGTACATCCTATAAAAGGATAGACTATATCTTTTTGTGAGAGCATACAAAAGGACATGTCCTTGCTCTGTTGTGTTTTTTTAATACACAAAATACATTCTTCAAACTCTTTATTTCCAGCTTTCCTGAGGGTGATGGTTTCCATCCTATTTCATGGTTTATGTGCTGTTGCCAGCAATTCCTCCAAAAGAGTTTTCTGAGTGGTTGGTGCCTTTGACCATGCTCAAACTGCTTCACGACATTACAAGACTACTACTAGTAGAAAATGTGGTACAATTAAAACAGAGAGTTATACAATTTTCTTGGTTAAGAATGAAGAGAAAAACCGTGCTATCACAAAGTAAACGCACCTAATGGAAAGGATCAGCTATGAATCTTAACATTATGTCAAGCCTAGTTTCTAAATGCCCTTTCTTTGTTTAAATTGCATTATACATAACATAGCAGATTTTTCTTATCAGAGCCTTTTTTTTTTGAGTCACTCTTGCAAAATAAAATTTCATTAGAAAATGTGAATGAGAAGAACTGTAGAATAAATTTACAGCTGTTCCTCTGAAAATCTTAAAGTAACATTTTTCTGATGCTAACATTCTCGTTTGCGAAGTATGTCTAAACTGGATACCTACATATGTTTTGCACAAGAACTGTAATGTAATGAAATTAAGGATTTCCTGTTGCAAATTTTTAATGTGCACACAATTACTTTAGTCTGGAGCTGGAGGATTTTTTTGCTTCTGGAAAGCTTAGACTTAAATTGGAGAAATGTGCCTTTCATACTTTTTTTTAATATTACTCTGTTCTCTAATACTGTAGATGCTCAGTTTTCCATTTGCCACATGGGGTTTAGGATGGTGTATTTTTCAAGCTTAAAAATACAAAGAATGAGTTTGAAGAACAGAGTGGCCCTGTGTTTCTTTTGAGAGTCCCACTGGAGGGCAAAAAATTTGCTTAACAACATAGTGTTAAGAAATGGGTCAAAAGGGTTTGCAACTTGGGTGGGTTTATAACAGTCTACCTTGCCAGTTTCTTGAGCTTTAGCTAATAAATTATGTAATAGTAGAACTACGCAAAAATATTTTGAGTAGTTGGAAATAAAAGCCCAGTAATACTGCTGCTTGTGTTTTACAATTTGTTTTTTAACCATAGAACTGATTGCATAGCTGAATAATGTGACGTGGTGCACAAGTCGGGTGGTTCTTCCACCTGTTGTCTTTTCTTAAAAAGTTTGAAATGTATTCCTGAAATTCAGCGTGCCAGTCCCTAAAATGCTGAGTTTTTGTTATCTTCTAATACATCAGGGAAGGTGTAAGAGTAAATAGCATCTTGTTTCTGTAAACGTTAAGTTGCTGATAACTGTCTGTTCTTAGGCTCTGTCATGTAAATTTTTTTTGGTCTGTTTTTCTTTCAGGAGGAGCATATTACTTAATTTCCAGAAGTCTAGGGCCAGAGTTCGGTGGTGCCATAGGTCTGATTTTTGCATTTGCCAATGCTGTTGCGGTAGCAATGTATGTTGTTGGATTTGCAGAAACAGTTGTGGAGCTGCTCAAGGTATATGGATGATAGTCATTGTATCGATTACACTGTCCTTTATGCAAGTTTGTGCAGTAATCTAATCATAGAATCAGAGAACGGTGTGGATTGGAAAGGACCTTTAAAGATGATCTAGTCCAGTCCCCCTGCAGTGACCAGGGACATGTTTAACTAGATTGGGTTGCTCAGAGCTCCATCGAGCCTGACCTTGCATGTCTCCAGAGAGGGGACCTCCACCGCCAATCTGGACAACGCGTTCCGGTGTCTCACCACCTTCATTGTAAAAAACATCTTCCTTATTTCGATTCTGAATCTACCCTCTTCTAGTTTAAAACCATTGCATCTCATCCTATTGCAGTAGGCCCTGCTAAAAAGATTGTCCCAACCTGTCTGTAAGACTCCTTTAAGTATTGAAAGACTGTAATTATGTCTTCTTGGAGCCTTCTCTTCTACAGGCCAAACAAGCCCAATACTCTTAGCCTTTGCTCAGAGGAGAGGAGTTCCAGCCCTGTGATCATTTTAGTGTCCCTCATCTGGACCTGCTCCAACAGGTCCATGTCTTTCCTGTGCTGTGGACTCTGCAGCTGAACGCTGCAGGTGGGGCCTTACCAGGACAGAGCAGAGGGTCAGAATAACTTCTCTTGCTCTGTAGGCCATGCTTCTTTAGGTGAAGCCCAGGATGCAATTGGCCTTCTGGGCTATGAGAGCGCATTGCTGGCTCATGTCCAGCTTTTCATCTGCCAACACTCCCAGGTCTTTCTCTGCAGGGCTGCTTATTCTTGGGGTTCCCCTGCCAGTTCAAACTAATGAAATGAGGTACAGGATTACTATTAATATATCGGTGAAATGCTACTATAATTCAGTACCTTTTTGGAAAAAAAAAACAAATTATCATTGGTGTCAAGTGGAAATTTCCCACATTGTTTATCTTCCTGAAAAAATAAAATGCATAATTTGTAGTACGGGCCAAGCTGACTGTTGAGAACAGTGGCGGTACAGATACATGATGCAGAATCATAAGTTATTAATGCTGAGATTCTTACTAGCAAACTGTTTCTTGTAACAGTAATCGTTGTGATAGTTGTTTATATTAAGCTCATTTTTCAAAGATGTTCTGCTTACTCAAAACAATTCCTTAAGTTAAACAAGTATTATTTGTCTGTTGGGCGTTTTTGATTAAATGAGATACTGAGAACTCAGATGTACTCTTTGTAGATGGGAAGAAGTTTGTAATACATTAAAAGAAACAAGAGTGATAGTGAACGAGTAAAATACATATATACGTGCAAGGTGGTAGCAGTTGCCTTGCTGATGAGTCTAATTCTCTGGCAGTTGAGGAGGCTGTTCTCTCTGGGGATGGACTATGAATAGGAATGATCATTTCCATTTAGAAGTTTTATTGTTTTAAAAGAAGACAAACGTCAAATTACTTGTGTTAATTACTTTGTGTGTTTCATACACAAAATGAATAAATTTGTGGTCGAAAAGTTAACTCTAGTAATAAATAGCAGTCAATAAATTGCTATTCTGTGGTAGGAAACTTGGTGCTTGGTAAAGTATATGACTGTGTATTTTGTTTTGTCAGGAAAATGGAACGTTGATGGTTGATGAAATGAATGATATCAGAATCATAGGAGCTATCACAGTGGTGATTTTACTGGGCATTTCTGTTGCTGGAATGGAATGGGAAGCAAAAGTAAGGAACTCCGCTTTTCTTTTATTCTCTACTTCATAATTTTGATTGAATTTTCTACCTCAGCTGTTTGATGTATTTTTAATATACTTTTTGCACTCAGTATTGTATGCATGATATGTTAGAAGTCAGTCAGTAGGCAGTTTCTATGTAATAGCTCTCTGTCTAGGACTAGAGTGTGCAAATGTGGACAGCTTTTCAGGCCTTGGACCTCACTGGGTCCTTGGACCTCACTAGAAGCTTAAGCATTTATGAGAACCTAAAAATCAACGTAGTCTACTCTTAATCATAGAATCATTCAGGTTGGAAAAAAACCCTGGGATCATCAAGTCCAAACTATAACCCTGCTCTACAAAGCTCACCCCAAACCATATCCCCCAACAGCACATCTAAATGACTTTTAAACACCATCCAGGGATGGTGACTCAACCACCTCCCTGGGCAGCCTATGCCAATGTCTGACTACTCCTTCTGTGAAAAAAATTTTCCTCTTACAGTTTGAAGCCATTCCCTCTTGTTCTATTGCTAATTACCTGTGAGAAGAGACCAGCATCAATCTCTCTACAATGTCCTTTCAGGTAGTTATAAAGAGAAAAAGGCTCTCCTCCCAGTTTTTATTGTTGAGCATGAGGTTACATACAATGGAGTATCCCTTTGGTCAGTCCAGGTCAGCTGCCCTGGATGTTTCCTCCCAGTTCATGTGCGTTCCCAGCAGGGTC